AATACTTTAATTAGATTTAGATATATATAATTTTATTTGTATATAATAAAATTAATAAAAAAATAATTATAAAAAATGAAAATAAAGTCAACCCATAAATTAACTCGTTAATCATTAAGGTCGAGTTAGAATTAGACTTTTTCAATCCGCAACTCGTTTATAACCTAATCGGTAAACCCGTCACTTGAGTTGATCCAACCCGAACCCGATCTAATCCACCTGTTTGTCAGGTCTAAATTAATACTATCTAATCCAATCTTATCTTATTATTTTAATCTTGTCTGGTCATATCCTATCCAGCATTCCAGACGTGATATTTTTTTTTTTTTTTTGACAAGGGTAATGGTTAGGAAGTTAGTAAAATTAGATATTAGCAACTGGGACTTTCTAGAATAGTGAACATTCCATCCCTCATATGAGGCGCGCGACCATTAAGTCGCAAGTTGGTGGAGTTCACGGCGGTGACAGAGTTCGAAACCCTGACCTCCCGCCTCACCCAAGCCCTAAAACTTGGGAGCCAACCACTGGGCCACAGGCCCGGTTGGCTTCCAGACGTGATATTAAAGTCTTAAAGTAGGTGTTTTTTTGTACTACTCCATAAGGGACATTTCTCTGCGTGGGACTTGGGAATCTTTGTGGTCTTGATTCTCTTTGGGTGGGTGTAGGGTTGGGTTGGGTATAATTTGTACTCCGTTTGAGTTGGGTTTAGTGATTGGGTTTCAGATCTATTGCAGTACCCAAAATTGATAATGATGTTTCTTTCTCCCCTTCGCCCAAGGAGATATTTAGACTAACGGTTTATAATTGATAGTTATATATATATATATATATATATATAAAATAATTGATCATTATTATTTATAATTTAAAAATTATAACTTGTTCCATCTGAGTTATTAGCTTATAACTATTTTTAAAAAGCTAAAACGAATATTATATTTCTCTTATTTCTTTACTTGATTGCTTTATTATTTTCCCATGTCATTTTCAAATAATGTAGATGTATATCATGGCCAAATAGTGTGAATCTTCATAAAGGTTCCTTTCTAGTGTTTTCCTTTTATATGCAACCACTGCACTCATCATCATTTCTTTTCTTTTTTTTTTAATGTAATTATCAAGGATGTGCATTCACAAAGTCTTGATGCATTTCTTCAGAGTTAAATCACAATAAGGAATAAAATTTGACCCTACTCCTTATCCACTAATATGGTCTCAATTTCACCATATCAAACAACTTATTCTCATCCACACCCCTGCGCCCCTAAAAATAACGTGATTCCTATTTAACCGTAGGGACCATATACGTCACTACAAAGTAGACAACGTCCTTATCTCCTCCTCACCCAAGAAAGCTGCCGAACGACTTCTTGCTCATCACGACATCAATTCCACACAACATAAAACATTTTTCCACAGTTTGCATACTACCTGGCAGCTGATCATCAAGCTGTAAGCAATTACAACAATATCTACTATTTCTAAGGGAACTGGGGTAATCTCACAGGCTCAAACCTATACCATAAAAGCGTGTTCCCACTTAACCCAACTAGCCATGCCAGTTGGTCTGAACATGAAGAACCACAAAAAAAAAAAAGGGTCATCAAGTGGTACGTAAGTATCTTCATCACCCAAATCACACACATTACATATAATTAATCCATCATTCAAATTAACATTTCTCTAATGTAGATTTACTTTAGTGGAAATTCTATTTTGGAAAAGTTGCCATGAAAAAGGCAAATAATATACCTTAGCTAGATGGCACTAGTGGATTCCAACACCTTATCAATATGTACTATTTTATTTTCCTTCTTTCTTTCTTTTTGGCCTTCTCATGAATATGTACTATTATTCTCTTACAAAATGGGCTCCATCGAGAGCTTATAAGTGATACCTCACTCATATGTGCATAATTTCTCTTTATAAAGTACCAAATATATGTTGGACGCCTGGCCTAGATTTCAATAAATCCAATCAAAATTACTTTTTGAGATAAAAGGTGCTTTCTACGCTTCTAATTAAACATATGTGGTAGGCAAGTATGTAATATTGTGTTTATTAATTAGTTCCCACCATAATTTTTTTTTTTTTTTATCTTGGTTGCATAATAAAAAACAACCATTTTCTATCTCTTATCCTGCCTGATCCACATGCCATGCGACTCAAACTTGTGACCTCTTACTTTCAGCGGAAAAATGTAACCAATGAATTATTTAGGTCATTGGCACTTGCCACTTGATTTTAATCACACAAATCACTTATACAAAGGAATTGTTTAATATAGGAGTTTAAAATTAAAAGTTAACAATTTTGTTTAATTGATGATTAAAGATGCTT